ATTTAATAAATAATATTAAATTTATTTTATTATTTTAATAACTAATAGAGGAGCAACAAGGATAAGCAAAGGTAAGGAATGACTTTGACTTGAAGAATGACTGCAGAGACTAGAAGCCTGTAGGCAGGAAAAGAGACAGCTTGCCAGGAATATGATGCAGTTCTCTAGGCTCAGGAGTGGCATGGAGAGGTGTGGATAGGGGTCAGCCATTCAGTGTCTTTTCCAAAACAATAACATTATAAACAAAGCCAGTAGCAGTCAGGCTCAGAGCAAAAGGAGGTGGTTCTTCATAGAGTGTGTAGCAGACCTGGGAAAATTGTTGCTAAAAGATGTTGTGGATGCCAGAACTCTCTCTGGGCTCAAGAAAAAACTGAAGAAATACCTGGAGGAGAAATCCACTGAAGAAGCTAAATACGGAGAAACCCTATCCGGCTCAGAAAATCCCCTGACCTGAAAATAGTTGCAGACAGGGAGAGTACAGAGAAGGAAGTATCATATATGCTTGTCTTGTTCTTCCTCTTCCCTCAGTATCCATTTGTGACCACTATCAAAGTCCAGGTACTGGGCTCAGGGACCTTTGATCTGACACAGTACAGGTGTTCTTGTGAAACTGGTATTTCTGTAGGGTGCCCCAGAGGAGAGGTCTGCAGCAGCCCCTCTGAGCTCCCCAGCAGCAGATCCCTGTGGCAGGGCTGTGTCTAAGTGCAGCACCATTACCTAGCTTGCTCTATGCCATGGCCTCCTCTGCCTTGTTTATGCAGTGTGCACTTTCTTCCAAATGTTTGCATGAATTATCTGTTAAATTATAGAACTCTTTTTTTTCTCTTGTAATAAAGAACTGGTGGTAGGTGTGGTATTTGAAAATGAGGGTAGATACAGGAGAAAAAGAAAATTTTTTTTTTTCATTTTTGAAAGCTTTGGGTGCCATCTGCTGGGTTCAGTAGGACCTTACACACGGGAGCAAAATTGGAGTTGCTGGTTGAAAAGTGCTTGAAGAATTTAATTTACCCAGGGTTGTAGTGTCTTTGTTTGCACCTCCTGGTTCTCTTGACTCTGTTGGTGATAATGTCACCGAGGTCCATGGGCTGTACTGTGCCACACAGAGAAGTGCCTGCTTACGGTTTCCTTTTAATGATACCAGACTGAATTCTCTAATGGTTTTCACTGTGTTTGGTCGCATAATGGAGAAAGGGTGGAAGGAAAGGAGTGTCTGGCATTGTGTCCTGGCCATGTATTGCAGTAGCGGAGCCCACTCTGAGGAGCATTCAGGCTGTCCAAGGCTGCCGGAGACAGGGACAGGCAGATGCTGGGGAGCTGGAGAAGGCTGCTTGTCCAGGGGCCCTGGTTACTGCCTCTGTCTGATACACGGCACAGGTGTATAGCAGCAAGGTACGGCTCTGTATGTTGAACTGTGTGAAGTGGTGGTGTGTGAGTGTACCAGGTAGGAGAGGCACAGGTCCATGGGATAGGCATGGTGCCTGCTCTGCAGTTAAGGCACCTGGTGACAGTGAGCTGGCATCTCTGGGCTTGCAATGTGAGATGTCCCTAGCTCTCACCTTGGGAGTGCCCAAGAGCAAGGTAATCAAATAAGGTAGGCATGGGCCCTTCCAGAGGGCTGAAGCAGGCTTTGCGTATTCGTAGTCCAGGGGAGATGGCCAGCTATGTGTTTGCAAAAAAATGTGAACGGTATGACCTGTGTGAGCAGCTGAGTTCAAACACGCAGCGAGCTGTAACACAGTTATGCACAGCACCGCCTTGGGACACATCTGTCACTGTGAGACCCCTCGAGAGTAACATCCCTTTGTGTTTTTCTTCCTCACAGTTATGTCCCTGGTGTGTTCACTCTCACTCTGTAATTTGATGATACAGGGCTTTGGCAGCAATACTGGCTTGCACGGTCCCATCCTCTCATCCATCCCTTGCTACTTGTTCTCTCCCCAAGCCACAGTGCCCCTTATCCCCACGCGTACGTGAGGCCATGCTGTGTGCTGCTGGGTTTAAAAAAAATAAACCAAAACTACAGCATGATGAAATGGGTTAAATTCAACCCAGACCAGTTCCTTTTTTCGAATCACAATGTGGCCTCATAAACAGTTGGGTCAGCACAAGCAAGGGAAGCTTGGTGTCTTGCAGCGCTGAGGGGGGAGCAGGGGCATGTGGCTGAGGAGCAAGACCTCTGTATTCAGCTATGCTTTTGAACCCCTGGATCACCCAGCTATGGCCAGGGTTTGGCCTTTGCGCCGGGGATGTCCCAGCCACCAGCAGGCGTCTGCAAGGAGACATCTGGTGCCTTCATTAGTCCTGGGCTGGCAGGCTGCTCACAGCTCTCTGCACTGGAAGGGATCCTGCTGAGTTCCCCAAGTCCAGCACTGCTCTGCTCTGGGGGCTTAACAATATGTATAAAACCAGGGTCGTTGCTGCTGCTAGGTGGAGGTATGCTTTGAATTTTCAGCTGCACAGGCTGAAAAGAGAGTGGTTTGACAATAGTGAATCCTTGGAGCACATTTGGCTGCTCTTTTGTGTGTTCACAATATTTCACTAACTGTGCACCTATAATTTATAAGAATATAAATAGAAATGAACACATAAATGAGGGATAAAGAAACCTTTTCCTTTGGTTTCATTCTTTTCCTTGCGTATCAAGAGATGGCAGTATATTATTCCATCCAAGCTAGTAAAGACTTACAGACTTCTCTGCTGTAGCAAGGGAACCAAATTCTTTCAGAGCTTAGAGAGGATGTTCAGTCTCAGGTAAGTAGGCAGCCTGGCATTTTGGTGATCTGAGTTGCAATGGTATGTCACCGCATACCAGTACTACGTTGATCCATAAGGGTAAGAGATCCTAAATTTTGTCCAAAAGAACAGAAAAGGTTTAAAAATTGTAAAGGTTTCTGGTACAAACAAATGAAAAAGATTACTTCTGATGGTGTTGCATTTTGAATGATCCTCTATCTAGAACGTGGCAGTTTTACATAACTGTTGGCAAACAACAGCAAGAGAAAAGCAGAGTAAAAATGTATAGGAAGAAAGCTAGAACTCGGCCCAAAGAAAGGCAGTCTGTTAGAAGGAAAAATCTGTTTCAGCTGAGAGTTTATGCTTAAACAAATTTAACACACTCTTTGAAAGCTAATTATGTTCAGCGTTCAGTCTGGATGCCTTACATATGACAAACCACAATGAGAAACAGACTTCCTTCCAGTGTTTATACATTGAGTGTTAGAACTTGAACCATAGCATTTGTAGACTTCATTGAACTCTAGATCACTATTAGATTTCTGTAGCGCTTGAATTCATATTACAATGCATTAAAATTATTTCAAGCAAATGCTGCCAGTGGCAACTCATGTATAGTTCATAATTACCATCTTTTTTATATTTTCTTATACTCTGTTTTTGCTGCTGCTTTTTTTTTTTAAATCACCTTCATGTTAACATGGTGCCAGTGTTCTCACTGAGGTCACTGTGCAGTGCCTTCATACTTTTGTATAGTGATTTGATTTCTGTGTTTGTCTTATTTTATGAATTAATATCTTTCAGCACCCCCAGATTCAAAAGGAGTCACAATATATCAAATACTTATGCTGCGATGATCAAGCAACCCTGCATCAGTGGGTAACAGGAATAAGAATTGCCAAGGTGAGATTAAAAGTAAATTTAGTTAAATATGTTTTCTGTAAGGTCCTGTCTTCCTCAGGTTACTGACTGTCATCACCTCAACTGGAAATATTGTGACAAGAATGGACATTCATGCTAATCTTACTGTAGAAAGAAAGAGCAGAAGGGCAGGACCAGGATGGATTTGCTGAATGTTCCTGTACCCTAGTTATCAGTGTGTTTTTTTCATTAACATGGGGGTGAATTCTGTAGCTATAAAACTCATGTACTCGTAAAACTTACTCCACAGTTATCTGGCACAATAATAATACACTGTAGCTGAAGATGTGCAAGCTCTGGTCAGACCAGCTGTGACATTTTTCAGACAGTTCTGCCCAAATTGTCTGCCTCACTCTCTTCAAAAAGATCCTAATTCACAGCCCATTTTGTTTTGCAAAAAACATTAAGGGAGATGGATTTATACATAGCCTAGTATACTGGCTGTACCTGGCTATACAGACCTGCTCCTGTTAGGTATATATTCTTTTCTGCCAGTTCTGCTGCAGGGTGACATCCAACAAAGGTGTGGGGTGAACATCAAATTATTTTGTCTTACACTGACAGAGCTGTTTGCTCTGGAGCCCAGAATTCAGTGTCCCACGTCTCCAGTCTGAAAATGTAATACTTGGAAAGTATTGGAAAAAGATTTTTATTGAGAACAGTTGGTTTTAAAGCCAAGTTTCAAGATGTTTACAGATACTGAAATGAACATAAAATGTGAGAATGATAGCAGTAGGACTGTGTTTGGTGACGGGCGTTCATGTTTTATTGTGCTGTTATGGAGATGCTTTCCACCTAGCCCTATAAAGAAATAGGCACACCACTTGTAGAAAGCTACTTTTTAACAAAACTGAGTAGGAAGGAATGGGGTCAGAAAAGTTGTCCGAGAGCAAAATGAATGCTTGGTCTATGTCAAGCTTAACACCATGCTTATTGTATTGTTTTGATTGTTTTGCAGTATGGCAAGACGCTATATGGTAATTACAAATGTGCAGTGAAGAAAGCTGGCTTGTCCTCTCGGTGGGCAAATCAAGGAACGGTGGAACCAGCTGCCCCTGCAGGATCCTTATCAGCAGGTACTGATGCTGTCGCAGCAGTTGAAATCACCTTTATTGCCTTCTTCTGTCATCATCAGTGTTGCACATAGTCTTTGTTCAGAAAACTATCCCATTGATTCAGGCAGATATCGTCCTAGACAGCCCAGTGTAGCTCTGATCTATAAGCTAGCAGCAGATCTAAGTTAGAACTTGAAGAATAGAAACATAGCCCACCAAAGGTCAGTTTAAATCTGCATAATTTAAGAAGGTATTTTTCTGTTGGCATCTGAATACAAATCCTTTATCTTCCCTCTACATTTTATGGACTGATGGTCCATGTCTTGAAGTTTTCTGTTTGTCCATCTCTACACTGGCTGTATCAGAGCTTTTCTTCCAGTGAGTAAAAGGGATGACTGGGGTATTCTGAGAATGATCATTTCAGAAAGAGATTATTATAGGGTGAGCCACTCTCTTTCCTAGGCTTTCACTCATTTGCGTGATAATGTGGATGTTAGGAGGACGCAGGGGAAGAAAGGATTGGGTTATTTTCTAACTTTACTTTTCCAGTAGGTTCATCATACTGCTGTTACCTGTTTTATCATTGTACAGATACAACGGTGCATGATACTAGCTGTAACTTGCATGAATGTTTTTAGTTTGGAGATGCTTAAGATATGCTTTATTTATTTGGAAGGACATGCTGGCCAAGTACTTACCATCATAAGACAGGCAAAGTCAAAATCAGTGTTGGCAGTTAATATTCTGACTTCTCATGTAGACAACTCAAAATCCTCCACACACCTTTCCAAGGCTTCAGTTTGCCTTTTTTCAGTACCTGTGAGAAAAGGGTGGTCTTTCTACTAGTCCTTGGAGTCAAATCATGGTAATAAATGCACATTTGGGGTGGGGAGACCCAGTAACAGACTGTTCCAAGATGAGGGGATTTTCTGATGGTTGTGCATGGGGTTACTTTAGCGCTGGTGGAGGGGGCAGTCGTGGAACATTTTGTGTTCTGGTGTTGATGGCAGTAGAGAGGTGGCTGGCCAGTGGGGCTCCATGCTGGTGCTGCAGTCTCTACTGGATATGGTCAGGATCAAGGCCTTATAAAGTATATATACATCTGTATAACTTCAGCTCCTGACTAGAATCCAGGAACACTGCATCTGATCATAAAATATACTGTTAATCTTAACTAATGGATCCCATTAAATGGTTAAGTAGCCTGGAAAGATTTTAGTCATGTATATTGTCTCTATGGAAATATCTCTGAAGGATCATTAGCATTCTAATTGAGGCAAGTCACTGTGATTCTTGCTGTCTTACAGTTATCATTACTACCCTATATAAAACCTGGGGCCCGACTGTAATACTGTAACCTGAACTGCCTGACTGTGAGCAGTTATTGGCTCGTGTTTTGGAAATGGAACAAAGTATGTTTTCTTCTGTTCTGTTTTCAGATGGCTGTATAGCTGTTTGTATGGACTGATAGCCATATGTATAGGCTAAAATGTGCTATAGAAAACTACAGTCCTGTGTGATCTTAGAAGGGGACTGTATTAACTTCAGTGGCAGCCAAAAGCAATGCTGAGGAAGGCAGGTGGAACTTCTGTTCTCACATCTCATGCAGCCTGTATTCCCTGGTCACGCTGCTGTAGCCCGCATTTGTGTGTTCGCGTATACCCCAAACTATATAGTCTGTTGTTCTGAAGTGTCCCAAGTGCCAGGTGCATCTCAGGCAAAATATGTTGTTTGCCTCTCTGCCTCACTACGTGTGTCTTTGGACACTAAAAAAACAGTGTATGTTGTATGCCAGCACAGTATCATGATGTTTGAAAGATGAAGGATGTTGCTTTATTAGATGTTCCATATCACTACAAGATTCAATATTTTGCATTGTATGTTTTGGGTATCTGTATTTTGCATTATACTTGGACTGCTTTTTTTTTTTTACTTAAATATTAATTCAACATAAAATTTTGGAAAAATTGACTTGCAAAGAATACTATAACATTGAAATTAAAAATACATCTTGAGAATAGAATGCATGAACTCACATATTGGATTGACTGGGGGTCCTTTAGCTGGCTGACTTTGTGTATAGCGTATGTGCAGTTACGTGGCAGGAGTTGATACATCAAATGTTGCTTTCAAGTCTTGCATAGTTTACAAAATCCATTAACAGAAGAAGAAACAGATTACCATTTAGCCATGTCCAAACTTTCTGGTATATCATATTTGCCAAGTAGACCACTATACCTTGCACTATATAGAGTGGATATCTCTCTGCTCTCTTTCATTTAGTTAAATCTCAGCATGACTTAGGGCAGCAATGTCTTTGAGCAGGGTGAAGCCCAAACTCCTGCTCTGCTATTGACAGCAGACAAAGTGAGGAGAGACAGTAACTTGCTCCACTTGAGGGCGTGGCCACAGAACCCAGGGATTTACATCTCGCTCCACTGAGCACGTACAGCCACAAGATTGGTTTTATCTCTTTATTGAACTTCCACGTTAGTCCTTCAACAAACACAGACTGTAGTTTGAATGATCAAAATGGTACTTTGGATTAAATATGCTGAACGACATGCAGGCACAAGCATAAAACACAAGGACTTCAGACCATCTTCTGTCATCCCTTGAAGCCTAAATAGCCCTAGTAAATTCAGTACACTGCAGAGTTTGTCTTACTTCTCTGTTAGTGGTGTGATTTGCAGGCATGGCAATAAAAATAATTTATTCTATTTGTTATCATCTTCATGGAATCTCTTTGCTAATCAGAAAAGTACATGTTAAGATTAAAACCATTGTTGTCCTTAGACTTATATTGTAGACCGCTAAGGGTTCACTAGAAGTACATGAGTGTAACTTTACTGGATCTCAGAACTGTAAATTATAATAGAGTTAAGGCAGTCATTAAGGTTTACGAATGTATGTATGTAGGCACCAAACACTACCTGCTACTTTGACATGTACAGCTTCCAAAAATCCTAGACTAAACTGGAGAGTTTATTTAATCCTCATCAGACTATACAGGGGCTGGGGATTTTTTCCTAATTAAACCCACAAATTTGTCCTTTGGTCTGACATTCATTTACTCCATTTGACAGTACTGGGTTATTTATGTATATCCCTTACAAACACAGTAATGGTGGGCAAACGTTTTGCAGAGCTTTAACTTAGCCGGCTAGCAGATCTTCACTAATCTGAGAATACAGTGAGGTTCACAAATCTTCTGTGATTCCAGATGGGGGAGAAGTTTCAGAGCTGTTAGCTCATTTACTAAAGAAAATGGATCAGCCCCTCTGTAGGATTTCAAACCTTCAGTTCTTATGACTGTTACTGATTTGAGACTATGGCACTTTTAGTCTTTAGGCTAAAGGGAAAAAACATGCAATAAAAACTGAGAATGCAGTAATACTACAGCACACTACAAACTTCAAAACGCTGTTATGAAAGACAGGTATTTAAACAACGGAAGGCTGGAGGGTGGGCTTAACTATGCCAGTTTGATTTCTGCTTAGCTCCCCTTCCAAAGCCAGCTCCCCATCTCTATTCCCATGTCAACCTTAACAGTCCCCTTCTGTAATCACCATTTACAATAGTCAGAAGAAAAAGCTCTTCATTTGTCACCACCTTTACACACTGATGATTTCTGTCATATGTCTTCATAATTCTGCCGCTTGCACTTCCTGTAAGATTGTCAGCTACAACCATGGAGGCAGGTATTAGTTTTAACATAAGGTATTATGTTTTTTTTCCTTATGTAATGAACTGAATATGAAAAGTCACAAAATAAGCCTGAAGTAGAAAACAGACATCCTCATGGATTTTACTAAATTATGTGTAAAACCTGTAACGAGTGGTTCCTTGGGGGAAGTTGTAAAGATGTTTTTATAGCCTTATTCTTAGTTTGCTATTCCCTGATCTGGTTAATATCACAAAAATGTAACACTCTTTTCCCTCTGTCTCCTCTCTTTGTCACAGGTGCCGTTCAGGCAAATGGACAGATTCCCCAAATTGATTGTCGTTCCGGTGCAGAATTTCCAGAGACTCAGAAGAAAGTGGATACATCAGAGGTACAGGTCAGCAGTTACTATCAGTGCACTTGTTAAATGTTACCTGTGAACCAGTTCTCCAAGTTTGTTTTTCTTCACCCACTGTCTTCCCCTCTCAAAGTGCCAGTGTACTGCTGTGACAAGGATTTGGGTCCTGGGCAAAGTGCCTGGTTCCTTGTTGCCACTCCTCATGCTTTACACACTGCAAACAGTGTGCCCGTTGCACAGAAGCAAGGAGCCACCAATGGGAGGTGAAGGCACAGCCATCCGCCACTTTCGTTCTTCAGAACAAATAGGTGTGAGTTCACATAGCAGAAATAGGAGCGTGCCTACTGGGACAGTCTCAAAGAGTCTGTGCTGCCAGAACCTCGGTGCCGTTTTCTGTCTCTGCCAGAAAACAGGTCTTGCCTTAGTAACACAAAGGATACAGTAGTGTTTTCGGCAGGGAACACTGTGCACAGCTGAAGATGAGTGTGTAAGAAAGGAGAAAGTGTGAAGAAGTAAGGGAAAACATTACATGTTTTCATTAGGCTCTAAATGCATTCCTTGCTTAAGCTTCAAATTTTGTCTACTTGCTCCATCTCTGGCTGTAAAACTATCAGTAGGGTACAGTATGAGGACTTCAAAAACATCCTACAGAAAAAAAACCCCTGCATTTGTTTGCAGTTCATTATTCAATCCCTCCATCATGCATAAAGTGCACAGGACAAGTGACATGACATTCCTAGGATTTTTCTGTCACCTGCATTACATGTCCTACGCTTCTTGTTTCTGTCTTTGAGTTCCTCCTTTAAAAAGATCTGTTTCTCTGTTCTGAACCTCACTTCCTCTGAACAGATCACGTTCTCAGAACTCAGCCAGTGGTTCCCTCCTCCTATGTCTCGTTTGCTTCCATCTTTGTAGGCAAGAAGAGTGAGGAAGAGAAGGCAAGCATGTTATACTTAGCTAATGCCAGAATTAGTACTGCTGACTGCAGGTTGCAGAGCACTTTTCTCTAGCAGAAGCAAACGTGTTGCCTTCTTCATCTCACAGCTTCTACAAGCCTGGGACCAAAGGATCAAGCTGAAGTCTTTCAGGGTGCGCTGTGCTACAGTTAGAGCACTAAGCTAGCTAAATCTAAACTGATAAATTAGCATAACTAGAAATGAATGTGTAACAAAACTTTGTTTTCAGGACAGCAGACTTCTCCACAGGTTTACAAGAATAGGTAGCATGTTTGTGTAGTAATTGTCAACAGCTACCAGTTGCTACCCAAAAAAAAAAAAAAAGGGGCAAATTATATTCCGATATCACCAGTGGGCTTTATTTATCTTCAGAGTGTCGACTAGCAAATACAATTTAAAAGAAAAGCCACCTAAAATTTTGTCAAAATAAACATCTCCATAACGAACTGCTATCCTACATTTTATTTTTCTTAACTTGTATGATGGATGCTTTGATTCATTTTTCCTTCAAAAAAGTTGTCAGAGGGTTTGAACGTCTCGAGACCTTGCAAACATGGCTAGAACTTAGTGGCTTTTTGTTGCACTGTTGATTTGAACATGGAGGAGGCGTGTGCCTGTGCCTTGCCCAGCAAGCAGAAGACACCCTTCCCCAGGCTTATCAGTGGCCCATGGCAGGTCACCGGTGGAGTATCTTTCCCTTGCTGTGCACCGCACCGAATCGTGACAGACGGCTTTCCCAAGTGCCTCTCTTCACAGTGCTTTGCAGTGCTCTCCCTCCCGTACAGAGGGGGCCCAGTGCACTACCCTGCGGGTGAATGCATGTCACACCATGCTGCAGAGTGCTGGGGACAGCGAATCCAGACATAGACACTTTAAATTCCCAAATCTCTCCACCTTCTTCCCAGTTCACTGCTGTTGTGTCTAATGAGTTTGGCAGAGATAGGTGACTTCATTATTTTAGCTTTATCCAGAGATCCAGCAGTCACAGCTAGAACGGGAGATGGAGATACAATGGGGACGAGAGCCAAAACTACATCTGCTTTTTATGTTCTCAAATCTTGCTCAGTATTTTTGGATGTAAAAACACAGCACAGATTTTTTTTTTTTTTTTTTTAAGTCTTCATGTTCTCAGGGAATGAACAGCAGCGTGGAACATCAAGAAAGTACCTTTATATATCTTACTAACTGCAATTCTTTGAAATTTTAAAAGCACTCATTTTCTGAGGCCAGCACTCGAAGAAGCACTATGAATACTGTCAACAGGGAGGTTTCTGCTGTCAAAGCTCTGTGGGCAGCTCCAGAAAGAAAACAAAATACTATTTGCACTCTTCAGGCAAAATGTACTCTACTTCATTTTACTGTCTACTGTACTCTTCTCACATATTTTCACATCTTTTCACTGTTCTTAAGCAGTGGCATTAGTTTACATGTGCACTGACTGTGTCTTGTCCTTTTATTCCTTCTGCTTATTAAAGGCTAAGTCAAATAACGTCAGTGCACCTGGCCTGGCACAGTCAGTGTTGAGGCCACAGAAATACCAGAGTAAGAGGAACTCACTGCAGCCTCCTCCTCCACCTGAAAGGCGGTCATCTGCTATTGCTGTTTCACCAATTCTACCCTCCAAAGCCAAACGAGGCAGCAGCATTTTCCTAACAGATCCAGACAGCTTTCCAGCACCGCCACCTACATTGAAGATTGATTTTCCACCACCACCGTCTGATTTCTGTGAATCTCCTCCTGATTTTGTGCCTCCACCACCACCAGCCTCCAGCAGCGGTAATGGAGACCTGCCATTACCCCCTCCACCTCCACCTTCCTCCAGTAAGCCATCACCTCCGACAAAGAAACCTGTGCCACTTCCTTCAAAAAGGCTAGAAAACACAGGACAAGCTGGAGAGCCGCAGCCAGCTGGGCCACCTCCGATTGGGGGTGGAGGCAGGCAAGCAGATTTCATGTCTGACCTAATGAAAGCTCTTGAGAAGAAAAGGGGCAGCAGCTCCTGAACTCTGGGAACAGGTGGACTTCAAGCTATAGCTGTTTTTGTGAGGCATCATGGAAGGTCATGCTGGATCAGGCCCCACCAGGAGGAATTCTCCTTCAGAGTTCCTCCTGGGGGTCCCAAGAAGTAAAGCGGGGTGCCCTCTGTCCCACATGTTGTCTCTACAACCTGCTCCTTCCTCCCCCCACCCCCCATTAACTACCCTTCCAGCACCAGGCTGAGGTAAGAAATGAGCTGTAGAGTCTTGCATCGCTCCATCAGGACAGCCAGGGATGGTGGAGCAGCGCTCGCAGAGCCAGCCAGCGAGTGAAATGCATCTTCTGTGGCTGCCTCTCTAGTAGAATTGGAGCTGAAGGAAAAAATACAATGTTCTCGTGAATTTTGAGAAGTGGGAAGATCCCTTTTCACCGAATTCCCCTTAAAGGTTCTTTATCAGAAACCCCCAAATTGTGGTGTTTTTTTTAATAAAAGGACCCCATTTTTTTCCAAAAGTAGCCTGTCTTAAAAAGTAAAACCTCAGCTAGATTATTCTGAGATGCAAGGCAGGACCAGGGCCATTTCCAGACAGTGTCACCCCAAATGTTACACACTCCTGTTTCCATATGCAACTCCAGTCATACCTGTCAGCACTCAGAGTTGCTGCCTTTAAATCTCATTTCTTTGGTTAATCTTAGACAAAGAAAAAATTTTATTTCAAAATGTTGTATGCTTCCCTTGGTAAGCAGGGATTTTTTTTTCTGTTGGTTAACATTTGTCTTCAAACTGTACCTAGAAACAGTCTGTCTTCTGAAAGACTTCGTAATTATCTTGTACCTGATATGAATGTCTCCTCCTACATTTTTTTTCATTTGTTCTCCCATTTTAATTCTCCGTTGTTCATTTAGGCAGCATTCATTATTTGTTCTCAAATAAAAATAGCTTCTATTTTATATCTGCACAAGGTGTCACAGTTAATGAACAGGCATTTTACTGGCAATTGGTACCACTGCAAGTATTTTAAAGTTTTTGCCTCTACCTTCTAAATTCTTTATTTTTATTTCTTCCAGTCTTTGTCTCTTTTCATGCACGCAATCTTCTGAGATTCCATAAATAATATATTTCTGTATTTTATCCAGGAACGGACAGCAGTGCTGGCTGGCCCCTCTCTCATTTGTTCAGATGGTTCCTACTATATTTGCACATTTCAGTGGCTGCATGAGCGTATTCCTCCACAAGACAGCAAAGAGCAGGACTTTGCTATGAAAAAGCACAAGCCACGAGCACTCAGTATCGGGGGCCAGACCCCTGACAAGTTGGAGCAATGCAAAGCAAAACGTGCCTGTGTTAGCACTAGGAGGAGCGGGCAGTACCCGGTCGAAGCAGTGGGAGTGAAGGGACAGGCTCTCGGAAGGAGCCAGCGCGGAGAGTGATGGACACAACAGGAACTTGGGGATGCACAGAAGGTGTTTCAGAAAAGGGATGTTTAGCCAGGGAAGTGCCAGATGAGTCACTAAAAAAACTTTATGTGACATCCCGCAACTTAATCTGTTTTCAGTTGAGACAAGCTGAAGCTAAGGGATGTTTTTCCTGCAGTAATCCCCAGTTACTCACGTATAGCCATGGGACAGCCGCTCCCTGTTTCCTCCTTCCTTTCTTTGCTATGTCGGCAGTGTAAGCATTGGAAGAGCAAGTAAAGCTCACATCAGGGGATGGGGGGATGTCTTACGACTGCTGTTAACCATTTCTTTGCTCTGCAGCCTATGGTTGAGGAGCTAGAGTTGCTAGCAAGATGCTAGAGCTAGTACACCTGTGTCTCTACTGCTAAATAAAAGAGGACGAGGATGCAAGCTTGAGCGCTGGCCTAGTGCTCACCCATACTGCCAAAGTGAGCCTAAGCACAGTCCCAGGCGCAACTCAAGGAACTGCCCAGGCCAGGCACCATTCCCAGAAGACAACACAGACGCGTTTAAAAGCAGGTTTCACTCCCTGTGCAGACATCCCCTGTGGTGCGGATATGGCCAGTTAGGGTACTAGTTCATGGGCCGAGGAACTAGTTCCTGGCCCTCTTACTTACCAGTATAGACAGAGCCCATGCAACTCTTACTGGTCTTCTAGCTCCCGTGCTTTCACTGAACTGAGCAAAAAGCTCTCACCAAGAGAAGCACGTTCACCAATAACACAAACGTTACCTAGAAGTTTTGAATCGTATCTCATTATCTCCAAACGGCCAAACTGAGAAATGCTGTCGAGACCAGTGCGAGGCTCATAAGCTTAGTACAAGCTTTAGTTCCAAGTGCAGGAGGAAAAATACTAACTAGCTAAAAGTAGGAGGGTTAAAACTAGGGGTTAAAAAAAAAAAGGATTAATGTTTCCCAGTTGCTTTCCATATGTAACTGAGGTAAGCATTATGCAGAATCATTGAATGCTAAAGAGCTGGGTGTCATTTTCTGATGAGGTATTGGGAGTGCACATCTTTGACACACTTAGGTGACAACAGCTGTCTGCTATCCAACTACTTTTAAATCAAATGAATTTTCTTTTATGAAATGTACACCCAGCATCAAAATAAAGCAGAACACGTCCTTAGAAAAATGTTGCACAACAAGCTAGTTTCTCTGAATTCACAAAGCGCTAAGACTTCCACACGGCTTTCCTAGCATTCACTCTTCTCACCAGAACGCTCAGCCTCCTGCCCTATTTCCTCCCTTCTCTTCTGTTACAGCACAATAAACTCAATTTTATACATTTTACATCTGCAGTCAATCATCACTCATGCACTTAATCTTACACAAAAGAAAAGTTGAGCTTTCTTCGAAACACAAAGAATCAAAGCCTACAGAAAACTCCAGAAATCAATTCAAATGCTGTGATGATTAGACTTCTATCAACTATTTTGTGTATGTACATGGTTGCATTGAATTTCTGAAATGTAAGTATTCAAACTCTCCATTCAAAGAACGGAGCTACCATCTTAATGATACACAATTATCTGTCTTTATTTGGTACAAAAAAGATGCTGCAAAATACAAAAAGATCTTCCTTCCAAGACTGTAAATCAAAGCATTTGTAAAAAATAGAAATTAATCTTTCCACCTCTCTCTAACCTATTGCCATATGAAATTGTCTTAGTCCTGTAGATCATGGTAGTATGTACATTACTAGAGATTACAGTATTTTAGTCTGAAAAGATGTGAAATTGCAGTATGTTATTTTTAACCTTTCTCCATGCCTCAAATGGAAGCAGTCTCAGCAGCTGTCATCTTCTTTGGGCTCTTACATCACTGGTATGGAAGAAGGACTCACTTCAAGCGATCACTTTTCCATCAGTCCTTAGGATTAGAAAGGTTAGAGTCATGTGGAAAAGTCCACGTATGGGGGACCACCACTGCAGACCCTCATAACTGTCCTCTGCTACAGAAAGAGGTACAAATAAACACCTGTTTGATTACCAGCCACAGTATTTTTACTCCCCATCTGCTCTTGCATCACTGCTATGTTTATGTACCGTGAAGGAAAAGGCAGCTCCGGAACCGCAGGTGGAAGCCAAGAATTTTAGGGAATATATCATGAAACATGGTATTAATGCTTACGTTGTCATAATAAACCATAATGATTAAAATCTAGAAGTGGAAAGGGAGGTGGTACAAGACGCTGAGCATGATGTGGGCTCATTTCTCTGCTTTTACAAAACATAGTTAAAAGGTAGTGTTGAGATAACTGTATTCTTCGTGTGTTTTTCACACACTCTTTGTCAGGCACTTTGAGAGTGGAAAAGTAGAAACTTAAATACACCGTGGCAAAACTGTAGGACAGGACTGTTATTTATGGGTTATTGACAGTCTCACAGTAACTGGGAAACATGCATCCCTGTTTGAGGGAGACACGCAGAACAGAAGAGATTCAGTATTGTTAAGACTTACGAATTCTTACGGTCTTGCAGAATACTCTAAGGCAGGTTGATTGCCACTAACAGTCAGTACTGACTATTATGAAACGAGAATACTCAAGATGATTACTTGAAACAGGTAATTGCATAAAAAAAGGTTATGTAAACTGCATGGTAAAACTGGGCAGGGGGCAGGAAAGGAGATTTGCTTTCACCATAAGTCAAGGAAAGAGGACATGGCTGAGTCTGTGAATGAACTCCTGGAGAAGTAGGGGACCTAAGGCTCTCCGCAGCCAGAAGAAGAAGCGAAACCAATTTTCAGGGCTCGCTTAGCCTTTCAGATGTTTTTCAAGAACCTGAGAAAAGCCTGACAAGAACACAGTGGCCAGTACGTACATATCACTGCTTATAAAATAGCTCCCATTTGGGATGTTCCATTTTTATATCGTGATGCTGGAGGCTTTCTTTACCTGCAACTACAGGTGAAGCAGAGGTCCACTCACTACTGTTACTAATAGGATTTAACATTTATAAAACACTTGGAAGAAGAAAGCAGCATAAAAATGCTTTGCATTTATGCAATTATCCCATGAGGTAAAGAAGTACAGGCAGCCGTGTTTGGGCCCCACACGATAGAAACTTATCAGATGTTTGGTTCAACATAAATTAGTGTTCTTCGCTTTCACCTATGTCGTGGTTTAATCTCAGTCGGCAACTAAGCACCACGCAGCTGCTCGCTCACTCCCCCCCGCCCCCCTGGTGGGATGGGGAAGAGAATTGGAAGAACAGAAGTGAGAAAAGCTCGTGGGTTGAGATAAAAACAGTTTAATAATTGAAATAAAATGATTATAATAATAATAATAATAATATAATAATAATAATA